CACACACACACACACACACACACACACACACACACACACACACACACACACATCCTCGCGGCCACTTCACGGGCCCTTAGGGCCTAGGCCCAGCATTCGCTTCCACAGCCCTTAGGCCGCACAGCCCCTTAGGCCGCACAACCTGATGGGCCACGGCCAATTTTGGTCCATGCTCAGGTCTTTTTTTTTTTTTTCCCAGCATTATTCTTTATTTCAGTTTTGCTGAGTTGAGTTTGGACTAGGTTTCGTCTGTTCTATTTTTGTCTTTTAGGATGAGACGTTTCGGACTTTTCCCTTTGTCCGAACAGGCATATGCTTGTTCCGACCAGTGGTATACCCAAAGGAACACCTGCCCGAGTTGGATGAATGCTATGAAAAACACTCAGTAGTCTGCTCCTTTCCAGCAAAATTGAAACAACTACCGCCCACAGAGAAAAGGAAGGGGGTCCGCTTCTTTTGACTGTCCACTTCTTTGTCCATTTTCCTTAGTGTGCACTTCCATACCACTCTGATTTCCACCTCCATTAGTTCCTTGCCTTCTACCCATGATTCGTTTATGCATATTTTCTTTTTTCCTATCCTGCATCTCGTCCTCCAAATTACCCACAGGGTGGTTTTTATCATGGGTTCCATTAACTCTTTATTCTCTTTCGGGCCTACTGGGAAGTCTGAATAAGTAATGTTGGACCAAACTCTCTTGCACTTGTCCCATAGGGCTGTAGCGTGTTGGCGTTCTCGTAGGCAGTGGATTAGCGTTTTTGTTTGGTGACCAGTACACGTTTGGCACATGGCAGATGTTGGTGTTCTTTCTTCCTCTCTGCGTCTTCTGTCCAGCCATCCGTTTACCGTTAGTGCAAGATATATTATTAGCTACTGCAAGCTTCTTATCCTTTGTGGTCTGATTGAAGCGTAGTACAACCATGGGATTGATGGTCATTGACCTAAGGCCAGCTCGGGTCTATTTGGAGATTCTTCTCCCACCTTGTGGCTATTGCAGGATGTGGATTTTCCGCATTGCATCTGGACTTGTACCCTAATTTAACTGTGTACTCATGCAATGCTATCCACTTCTTGGCTCTGGCCCTCCCTCTTTCCTCATACCAGCCCCACTCCCTAGGGTCCACTTCCAATTCCGTTATGACCTTATCTGGCCCGAACAGCCAGATGGTTTTTTTTGCTTTTCCTCTCCCTCTCTTTTCCCTCCTTTGCTCATTCTTCAATTCCCTAACCTTACCGTTATGTGAGGATTGTCTTCAAGTTTTCTGTGCACGCTTTTCTCCTGGGGGGGCGTTGGGTGGAGTACGCTTGTCGTGTACTGGAGCTATCAGGAAATGTGCTTACACACACATCATCACAAACACACACACACAACAAACAGTCGGTTATTGGGATGGTTACCCCCCCCCCCTACAGATCGATACATGAGCTCTTTTAAGTTTTAACTGATACTGCTCATTCCCGGGGGAAGAGACAATATTGGACTGAAAGACTATAATATCAGACAACATATCAAGAAAAGAAAACAACTTTTTGATTTTGAGAATTCCAATGTTCTACTTGTTATTTATCGCTGAAGTCTGCTCGCTCTGGCCAGACCTTTCTCTCAGGCCCCCTCTCTACAGATCCACATGGTGAAACGACACCTGTGTGCGCAGTGCACACACACTAAGTGGTCATGTACAGCACAGTGCACCACACAGTGCAAGTATGAGAAAGGAAACGCAAACAAAGAAAACATTGTAAAAAAGCCCAAAAAGGTCTATGACGCTATGAGTCTATGTGCTATACCAATATTAACATAATCCACATAAATCCATGAGGAGATACAATCAACCATACAAAACTTTTGCAAGTATAGCACAACACAGGATATGGCCTCGGTAATAAGGGAGGGACGAAGGCAGGAGAAACGGAAGGAACAGAAGAGTGAGAGGGGGAGGACAGACAAAGAACGGCAAAGATAAAGAGAAATTACCCGACTCAGCTTCCACGAATGGACAAATCTCAACCCCAGCTTCCCATTCCGCCCCCCATCAGAGTTCCCGGCCCCCTTCCCCCCACATGCCCAGGCCCTGGTAGATAACTCCTGGTATGTCATTGGGTAAGGAACTCGGGAGTAAGCATCTGTAGAACAAAGAGACAGGGCAGACAATACTCTGGTCTCCTCTGGAGCAATCAAGGCTGCCCTTTTCGCTTTATACATCGTCATTACATCACCGTAGCACCACCACAACATCATCACACCTCCATTCATTCTACGTACCGGTCATCCTCTGAACCCGAAGCCGGGTGGTGGCGCCAGTAAAATATGTACTTTCTGTATGGAACACCGGACCCAGTCTCCAGCAGGTGCAGCTCCCCATGAATAGACAGGAGCCGTTTGTGGGGTAGCTACTAGTGGGGGATGCTTGTATCAACCTCGGTAGTACCACCAGTAGATGTTAAAAAAAAAAAAAAAAAACAGGAGTACGTACTGAGTCTACTGACACACAATTTGTTGTTGGGTGGGGCAATTCTGTTCTCTGGATTTGTACGACAAACAGAGGGCTAAGGCGAAGAAGGAGAAAATGTTGAAGTATTCCTTCAGAGCGCCCGTCATTTTGGAGGGTGATATTAAGGGAGTCTCAGCTGGTAAGATTTGAATGATATTCTTCTCTGTCCCTTCCCCTTCCCCCTTCCCCCCCCCCCCTTGAACCCCCCTTCCTCAGCCACCCCCCTTCCCTCCTCAGCCCCCCCATTTGATAGTGCTCAGCCAGTGAGATGACGGAAGTTGACTGACACTGGAGGATGCTAGCACTGTCATGGATGGTAAAAGTAACTTGCTCATGCAAGAGCGGTGATCAGGAATAATGCAGCCAACGCAGTACTTCTTTAATGTCATAGTGGGCACTATTTGCATGTATGAGCTTGCACAGTGAAGGGAGGATAAGCTCTTATACGCTCTCTTATATGAGCTCTCACCTCAAAGGGAGCACAAACCCTCAAGAGTGTGGGAGCAACGATCTGTTGGAGCAGCGGAGGAGGTCAAAATCTCATATCAGTGTAGCTTCGCAAAATCGAGGTGGATTCTTCTGCTAAATGAGGAAGCACACCTTGAGAGTTCTTCCTCTCGTGATTTCAGCAAATGCTACAAGGCCAGCTTTACGGTTAAACATAGATGCTCACTCGCAGCTGTTATGGCTGAAAGGAGACTCAGTGAAAAGGTGAACTACCATCTTCACCCGACTAGAACGTCCGGTAACTATCACTGCATCTGGACCGAAAGTTGCACCAAATACAGCTATAATGACCGGGCGTTCTATTCGGGTGAAGATGGTAGTGCTAGTCCTCTGCTTAAACATAGATGCTCACTCGCAGCTGTTATGGCGGAAAGGAGAGTCAGCAAAAAGCTGAACTAGAGATCATGCACGGTGAAGATTGAGTAGTTAATTGGGGAGGTGCTCGTGGTCCGGAAGGTGTTCTGCAAGTCCGCTGAAAGCGGGATTTCGGTCTGCAAGGAGTTGCCTACTCCGTACCCATGTCTACGTACGGCCGTAACCAAAAACGTTTTTTTTTTTTTTTTTTTTTTTTCAAATCCCCCCTCCAGTGATAGTGGTGCTGGTACGAGCAGACACCACTAGCACCTGAGGAGAGGCTCCATCGATTGGTGGGGAGCAGCACCTGCTGGAAAACGGGTCCAGCGTCCCATATACAGAAAATTTGGAGTACATCAGGAAAAAGGAGCGGGAAACTCCTGCCAGCATTGATTACTCTGGAATCCAGAGGATTGACTGAGCAGGAGATTGGAAAAAGGAAGAGAACCTCTTCGCCCTGAACCAGGCGCCAGATGCCTGCTGCTACTAACTAGTTCCTCCCTAATCTCAAAATGAAAACTTCGAACATCAAAGGGACAAGCTTTTGTTTGGAATATGCTCAATGAGGCTAGAATTGCTGCGCTCCTCGCCGCCAGTTATATGCTCTGCCCTCGCTCAGACTGCACAGCCGGTTCCATACAATTGCAGGTCCACCATTGCTAGCTGGTGGGGCAGGAAGGGGTCAGGAAATTTTGTGGATGGTCGCAGCGGGAACTCCTGGGCCACCACTGTCCAGTCTTTGAAACTAATATGGTAGTCCTTTTTGAACTCTCCCTGGTGGTCTCCCTGGGTAGGCCTGCCTTCCCATCTGACGGAGGCAATCCAGCCCCCATTCTCGCTGCCCAACCAGTCCCTTGAGAATTGCTGGATTGTTTGTATTATATCTTTGAATGAGTGAAACAAGTCCAATTGATTTTTAATTCCTTGCCACTGTACCATTAGTTCTTGTTGGACATATTGTTTTATCATATCTGTCACCTCTCCCTCCGCAGTGCGGGATCCCTCTATGGCATGTATACAGCGTTTCCTCCAAAGGGCCCACATGACAGCTCTCCTTCCTATTTTAAACATATTATTTTCAAAAGTACTGTCCGTAGGGGAGGACCATGTCTCGCATAGTATGGCTCTCCAGTCCCAAGGCCATTTTGACCCAGTGTCCAAACGGGACCAGATTCTGTCCCACGATCGCCATGCGAGGACTGCACCCGGACATTGCATGAATATGTGTTTTATAGTTTCCGGGATTCCGAGGGAGGGGAAGACAGTGTGGAACGCTTTGCACCAAGGTAACGCCTGTCCTCTCTGCTCTAGATGAGTACGATCTATCAATCAATCATTGGTGGGTAAGCAACGATGTTCTATCTGCCACTGCAGTGAGGCCATCTTTGCTGGCCTGACTTTGGTAGCAGTGAATCAACGGATAGGTCGAATCACCTCGATTCCTACATTTAATTGGGATCTCCATCTTTCCTTTACCTTTTCCTTAATGTTTACCTTGGGGCGCAATAGGCGGTACATTGCCTTCACTGTTAGGTTTTGCAGCTTTGTCCTCCCCCGAGAACTGCTTTTCAGTGGGAGTGACCACTGTCATTCCTCAGGATCTAAGGGGAGTTCTACCAATGGGTTATTTGGCTGATATGCAGTCCATACATCCGTGTCCCGTAATACCCGGATCCTTTGTAGTTCCTTGTTTTTTCCCCATCTCGTCACGTCTGGGGAGTACCGGGTAAGGACATTATCCTTGCCTATATGAAAAAGGTTAATCAAAGTTTCATCCAACCGCACGTCCACCACATTTCCCACACTTTCTGAGTCGCCCGACACCGCTACCCAGTCCCCTTCTTCCAGTCGTGGTCCTTTGCGCAGGATGCACACCCAGTCTAGAGGAATTCCGAATATTAACATCTCAAAGTTCTCCTCAATACTGTGACAATGTTTTAGTGTGTCCTTCAGTTGCTGCACCGTCTTCCAATCCCTTGTCTCGGACTTCCAAATGTCTTTTATTCTAATAACGCATTTTTTAACCCAGCTACCCCACGGGGTGACCGAACTGCAAAACACCCTGCTATATCGATCGGTGATCCTCCTGTTTCCAAACAGCGGTTGGCGCATCACCTCCTCCCACCTAGTCGGAGGGGGGGTGTCAGGAAGAGGGAGTTAGCGCCAGGCTCTCAGAACCCTGGCCCAGAAGTCGTCCCGGGCCAAGTCCTTCCAGATTATTACTCCGTTCGGTTCACGGCCGCCCCGAGTGCGTCGTGGCACAGTCCAGAAGCAGTCTTCCAGCCAGGTCAGCGGGTGAACGTCATGTGGTGCTTGCGGGGCAAGTCTGGCTATCTGTTCTAGTGCCAGGGCATACCATGGAAGTTGTTGTGGGAAGAGCAGCCTCTTAACCCATTGCACCATAATTGTTGTGACCTGTGTTTCCGGGTCCAGAATCCCCAGCCCCCCTTTGTTTTTCGGTTGGATCACCGATGACCAAGCTACGTGAGCTCACCATTGCCTCGCCACAACAGGGCCGTAACCTGACGCTTCAGAGATCAGATGGCTTCCTTATTGAGACCCCAGATTGCTGATTTGTACCAAAGGGCCGCCAGCACCACATTGTGAATCGCTAGCACCCTATCGAATAGGGAAGTGTGTTGGTCCTTCCAGCGGGCTAACTTTTCTAAAGCGGGTTTCAGTATCCACTTATTGTTCGATGCAGGCCTAGCTATTGTTGTTAGCATGATTCCAAGTACCCTAACCACAAGCAAAAATGTACGCCTACCCAAATTACAAAGAATGCAACACTGGCGTACTTTCCTTTTCTCTTTTTTTCAAACTTTCTGGTGCGTCACACATGTGTGTGCTGCACTAGGGCAGTGTCGGTGGTGTGGTACACATGCACACTTTACGAACATGTGTTGTGAAGTAACATGAATATGTCTTCTAGCGCAACTCCCTTTTGCAGTACCAAAGGTCCAACTTCTGCAGAATATTCCCACTCATTTGCCAGTATTGCTTGCCTCCTTGCACTAAACCACTACACAAGTTCTCATGTGAAATACATGCAGGCGAAAGCCTCAATTTCACAAAATAATGGTTGGATAGGGATGCTAAGGATGTCAGTAACATGTTTCTTAATTGAAAATTGTCAATTGCATTATAAATTTGTAACATCATTACATGCATCACAAAAGATATACAAAAATAAAGATGCAGATGAACATACAATGGAAAAAAAAAAAAAAAAGTTGCATCAACGATTCAAAGTTCAAACCTTGTCGGGAACTGATTTTTTTCCTTTTGTTTCTGAATATGAGATGAAACAGTTTTCAGATTCCAGTCCAACTCCAGACCCAAATTGCAAAAAAAAAAAAAAAAAAAA